GGGGGTGGGGGGGGTTAAGAGAGATCCGGATTGGGGAGGTGGGGGGAAGAGATCCGGGTTGGGGAGGGGGAGGGGAGAGAGAGATCCGGATTGGGGGGGGGGGAGAGGGATCTGCATTGGGGTGGGGGGGGTGGGGGGGGTGAAGAAGAGAGATTAAGATTGGGGAGGTGGGGGAAGAGAGATCCCGATTGGGGAGGGGAGGAGAGAGATCCGGATTGGGAGAGAGAGATCCTACTGGGAGGGGTTTGTGGCAGAGATATCCGGATTTTGGGGGCAGCGATCCGGATTGAGGTGGGCGAGGGGGGAGATCCGGATTGTTGGGGGGCGGGGTGGGGGGAAGAACTCCGGATGGGAGGGGATGGGCGGTTGGTTTAGAGAGGTCAGGGTTCAGATCGGGCACAAAAGCGAAATGATGGGAAAACAGGGCAATCCATTCAGTTCAGCAGAAGTTTTCAATGAACCCTCAGTGATGAGGTGTCTGACAGAGATAGCCTTCCGTAAGCACATGTCGCTGCAATATGCCACAGCGTAGACCTCCTTAGGATGGGTTTTTGAGGGCGGGGGGGAGATCACATTGGAGAAAGAGTGTCCCCCCTTCCCTCCAATTGATTTATTCTCGTTCCAAACAATGTGACATTCCAGTGATACAATTCCCAAGTCAGAGCACCTTCCCTCCCCCCCTCGAGGTACAGCAGGATTTCTTAACTTCTGACCGCAACTTTCTTGTTTAGTTTCGACTAGGGAGGCTTGAAGGAAAAATGGCGTGAAAGACACTTGGCAGCAATGAAATTCTACACCTGCTAGGCGTTGGCCGTCATCTCTTTTTAAAATCCCTGAGTCAGGAGAACAATCGATCTGGCAGGTGCCCAGTAATAAACACCTTTCTCAAATGTGAAAGGGACAGGGGGGAGCTGAAGATTCATCCACTCGAATTGGTTTGACCTTGTTTTGATCACTCATCTGATGACCCCGTGAGGCGGTTTCCTTTATACTGTCCCGTAAGGAATGTCAACCCCAGGCAAAGTTTCACTGACATTAATAAGATCAGCAACATTGTGCATTACATATCAGCTGCAGTGCTTTCAATCCTGGCACCCCTGACGGTAATTTTTATGTCTTAACAATTATTATCCCTCTGCTAGCCTAATCCTTAGTTAAGATATTTAAAAAAATGCCCCTGTCTTTATTTTATTTTGCATCCCTCCCTCGGGGCGCCCTTCGAGTTAAACGGTGCACTGGTGTTTTGAAAAGGTTCATCAATCGCACAACCTTCTGCGTTATTCGTGTTTGGGATTAATAACCTGATGTTAAAAGTTTAACAAAGCTTCCATTAGTTTGTAATGTAGGAGATGCTTTGTGGTTTACCAACTAGGGGAATGATATAAATGCAGTGCGTGAAGGCTGAATAACCCAAAACAGAAGTTAACATTTAGGTGCAAGATGGCTTAATTGAATCTCTAATTTCACGCTAATTTTTGAAGTCCTCAAAAGTTTCTGTTCTAACTGCAAATATGAACTGGAGTGAAGTAGATAACTAGCTTCTAAGATTTCCACTTTTGGTGCATCCCTTATCCAAGTGAGATTTCTGTTAGCTGTATTTGGCCTGAAGAATAGAGACTTTTTGGCTAGAATGCCAAAAATGTTTATTAAGTCCAAATGCAGCAATTCAACATATGTTACTAAACTTAATTAAAAAAATACATTCTAAATGAATGATTGCACTTAGTTATTAAAATGACAGGAAAATTCACTTAATATGTCTATTACCTAGCTAGTCATAAGCACCATTTAAGTTATTTATGGTAATTCTGACCTACAGCACTGAAACAGTACTTTTTTCCCCCTCGTCAGATACTATCTAAAACTATATACTAAATCTTTCGCTTCTATTGAATTTTGGGTATTGTGTAAAAATTACAGTTAGTTTCAAAGCTAATTGAAATAGTAGAACAGTTTCCCTATATTCTTCATTGCACTGGAAGTTGAATGCAGGTGGAGGTAAGGATAGCTTATTTGATTACTTCAGTAATTGCTATTATCATTTAATTTGTACTCAGAGGCATCATATGCAAAGATTGTTCTTTCCATAATTTCACCCAGATAATGCAGTGCCCGTACAGGGTGTCACTATGTTAGTAAGCGTGTGTATCCAATACTTAACTGATCAATAAATATAATATTGTGTTACTGATTTGGTGGTTGATTATAAATCTGCTGAGATCATCCAGGAGTGATCTGAAAGATGATTAGCACTAAATACTTCTGACTGCAAAAAATGTACTGTTTGGATTCTTCATGTATATTATCAAGAAGTTGCAGGACATACATTCTGGCACTATGTTGAATGGTGCAGAGGAGAGTAATTTGTTGAGATCACAATTTTCAATCTTGTGAATCCAGAATGACCTAAGGTCAATTCTTCTTTCTGAATTGAGCTTTTGTTTTCAACATTTTCTGTTTCTTCCCCCTGCCTCCTTTTCGGAAGATGTAGGTTCTTACTGTCAGCCATCTGGTTTCTCACCCACAGCATTATTTACCATGTATATATCTGTGCACTGAGTTTTGGCAAAGTTATTTGGATGGAGTGAGGAAGCGATTGTAACAGAGGAAACAGAAAAATCACAGGACATGGGGCAACATAAGTATTGTAGGCAATAATATATTTTGAAAATAGAGCTGAATGAGAAATGGTGGGGTAACTGTGGTTAATTACAATTGGCATGATGGCAGGAGCTCAGGGAATGCAATGGCCTAGTGGTGCTATCACTAGACTGTAATCCAGAGACCCAGCTAATGTTCTGGGACCCAGGTTAGAATCCTGCCATGGCAGACAGTGGAATTTGAATTCAGTATATATCTGGAAATAAGAGTCTAATCATGACCATGAATCCATTATTGATTGTTGGGAAAAAACCGGTCCGGTTCAATAATGTCCTTTAAGGAAGGGAACTGCCATCCTTTCCTGGTCTGGCCTACATGTGACTCCAGACCCACAGCAATGTGGTTGACTCTTAGCTGCCCTCTGGGCAATTAGGGACAGGCAAGAAATGCTGGCCTAGCCAGTGATGCCCACATCCTGTGAATGAGTGAAAAAAAGAAAGTGGTTGCAATCAAAAGAGATTTCATAAATTATCAAGAGACATGGGGAAGAAGTGAAAAGGGAACATTGTGATTGAGCTTTTATTATCTAGCAGTATTAATCTAGAAGTGTAGGAGACTGAGAGGGTGATCTTATAGAGGTCAATAAAATCATGAGAAGCATAGATTAAGGTAGATAGCCTACAACTTTTCCCCAGGATAGGGGAGTCTAAAACTAGAGGGCACAGGTTTAAGGTAAGGGGGAGAGATACGAAAGTGCCCGGAAGGACAATTTTTTCACACAGAGGGTGATGAGTGTCTGGAACAAGCTGCCAGAGGTAGTGGTGGAAGTGAATACAATTTAAGAAACATTTGGACAGGTACGTGGATTGGATAGGTCTGGAGAGATATGGACCAATGCAGGCAAAAGGGACTAGATTAATTGTGCAAACTGGGCGGCATGGACAATTTGGGCCAAAGAGCCTGTTTCCATATAAGTCTACTTTGTGACCTCATATGCAAGAAGATCAAAAAGGCAGGACATGCTGCTAGATCTAGAAATGGTAAATTAACAAAAGGCATTAAATGTGGGAAAGCATCCAACATTAGGTTGGAGCAAACTGGAGAAAATATCAATGGACCAACAATTGGCATTTGTA